CTTTTATCTATGGGATTTATGCGATCATAAAGAAAAATTCGGCAACGATCATTTTCAGTGAGTATCTTATAATCTATCCGAAGCTTCATTCCGAGTTATTTGACCAGAACATTTTAACTACATGAATCACGTACTGTAGTCGATTGCATTTGCATTTCAAAGCTATGGAACTATACAATATATGAAATATACTCACTACGACATTGATAAGAGAGGAATAAGTAATTAAACGAAGAGTTGGTCTTTACCGAAGAGTGACTATATCGATCTGCTGATCAAGGGTTACTACATACACTCCGTATTATTTTGCTGTCTGTTTCCCTCAGCATTCTAGCGACCAAAAATGAAATGACATTGCCATCACAACTACTGAATATACGTCATAAAAGTATGTTCAGGAAGATGACAGCTTAACCCTCGTTTTCCAGAATCAAGAATATGTCATTTGACACACTGAAATCCTCATTACTCCCCTTGAAGCGATTGGTTCTCTCATGCATTTCAGTTTATTGTAGCTTCTTCATATATTTTTTACTTTCAAATCACCTATCCTTTCGACAAATTTAAAACCGTCCTTTACACTGTTGTATCACTGGATTATGCAGCGGTTGTGATAGTTTTACCATCCATTTACCTGATGCATGATAGGTTAAGCTGCAGTGGCTGAATGGTCAGCGAGCTCGGCCCTTTTAGCTGGAGGTCATGGGTTCGATTCCCGACGGGATCATGAATGTGTAGTGCTGAACAGTCCCAAATTAAGACAGGACGGCTGTTTAGTACTCCCTGGTCTTGTGTATTGGTGGTACAGAGGTAGAAGGCTCGCCAACTACGCATGTGGTTTGGGGTTCAATCCCCGGCCGACGCACTCCTTTACCTCGTTAAGCTAGTAATAAGACTGGCAAAGAGTAAAGGTTGAGCAGGAGGCTGACATCCCTATCCCATAAAAATAAATACCACTGCCAACGAAATTTCAAAGCTCTAGCTTGAAGCCCTGTGTTTATCTAGGAACACAAAAGAATAAAATGAAAAAAATGACAGCTTAAAGTTAACACTGACAGAAGTGGCAATTCAGCAGAGTGTATTGAAAATGCAGCTCGATGAATTCAACACTTGTATCGCAATCAGTTGGTCTCGGGTTCGAATCCTTATTCATCTACCCAAGCCTGATGACTGATAATACAACCCGCTTACCCAGACTAAAGCAGGAAGAGTAAGATTCAAACCCGACTGGCGTAAGTCGAAAATCAATTACCTCTACTAATGATGGACTGACTGCGCGAGTTTTTACGTAGAACTTCTTGCGGAAGTGTAGCAGTTCACACTCCATATGCCTCAGAAAGGTAAATAAAAGTTCAATGGAACTATAATAAGCAGAAGTTTGTGGGAGAAAAAATAGTAGCATGGAAAAACAATAATGTCTTATTGCACATGGTAGATCACAGACATTAACTATCTCTACGCCAATGAGAGCAGTCATGAGCTATATTGCAAACTGCCTCCAGCCATCGAGGACCCCAACCAGACTACTCCTCTTTACCTGGCTGGCTCAAACTAAGCTGACATTGTCCGTCGGGGAATCCGCAACACGTGTCCTCAGTTGATGTAGCTTGACAACTTCACCGATTGATTTCCCCTCCCTCCTTACCTAGCACTCGACACCTAGCCTCAATATTACTACTCATCCTATTATACCACCACCTAACACGGGAAGTAGATAGAGCGGAGAAACCTATGATCGAAGACAGCCAGTCGGCATTTTCCTGTCTTCCACTTTCAATGGCCGTGTCCCACAACCATGTATAACGGAGGACGGAGCGAACTGCAGCCGCACGGAACACACTCGTCGATAGGGAGACATCGCGTCTATGCAACGAATGATGTAAGTTTGCAAATACTGCATGAGCCTTTTGTATCCACGATGAGATTTCGTCAGCAATCACTTCACAAACGGCCAATACAATTCCCCAAATAGGTGAAGTGGTTAACATGCCCTACCACCTAACTCCATATTTTTAGATTTGCACTTGATGCGCATCAGTCCCTCGTCATCATCTTCTTTTATATTTGACAGGAAAGAATCACATCCCAAACATATCAAAACTTCTCTAGGTGTCCAAATGCCTTTGAGTTCCGTTTTCATTTAGAAGGTTTATATCATGTGAATACTCTAAATCGACGAAATATCCAGTCTCTAAGTCGTTATAGTCACTTAGAGTCACATCCATCAAGTAAATCGATGATGAAATTACACAAAAATAGAGACATTGGACGTTCTCAATAGCCTCGCTGATTGTCTTTGTCTACACCAGATGACAACTCTCTATACGGCTTCAAGAGGAATGCCTCAGCTAGTAGGCTAAGACTTGGCGACACTCCCTTTAAAGCCAAAAATTGCCGGAGCACCTTCTGGTGGACGGAGTCTAACTCCGCCTTTAGGTCAAGAAATATGACGAGCGTTCAAAGCCCGTACGCATGTCTACATCTCAGAACCTGTAGAAGGGTGAAGATATGATCAATGCTCACTCGTCCGGGCGCAAAGTCTTCCAAACATTACCCAGTCTAGGCATGGTTATCGCACCTAGAACTTTAAATGGTATGTTAGTCAAGCTAATCCCCCTATGATTATCACAAGAATTATCAATCTTTTTACAAACTAGGATAATGAGTGATTACGAGCCAATACAGTGGGACTGTCTCTGATTCCCACACACTAATGCCTTAGTTAACTCAGACAACAGTTTGTGACGACCGTCATTGAACACCACTAGAGTCAATCCATTTGGTCCCACTGTTTCGTCTCACTTCAGATTACCAAAAGCATCTGCAACCTCAGTTACAGTTAGACGTCCAACGCTGATATCCTATTCAAGTAGGTGTTAGCTGCTGGGAAAATCGGGCGTGGTTGTAGGTCAGTTAAGTTGCTCCACAAAACTATCCCTACAACGTTTCAATCTTCTATCGTGAGATGAAATCAAAAAGGCGTTTCTCTCAGAGACTGTCTCGCTTATCATTTGTCTTTTATAACCTGTTGCTTTAATAAGCCTAAATAATAACTGTCTGGAGTTACGTACAACCAGCACCTTTCCCATCTCTCACTTTTGTCGCCCACCAATGTTCACAGTCATTGTGCAGACTCTTGAGCAGCTTTTGCTCCTCGTCATGTTCGAAGCCCACCAGTATCACTCTCCTGACGTCTAACAGTTCGGCTAAAGCAGCATAAACCCAATTAGTTTCACGTTACCAAATATCGTTACCACTATTTTTGCAGCTAGCTGAATATTGCGCCACGGTTCCTCAGGATGAGTCTCGCTATCATTCTCAGAGCCTCGTTTAGTTATTACTTACCCAAATAAAGACCTCGCATGCTCGTCAAGCTGGAGTTGTAGCGCCTTCATAGCTGCCTGACTTCTACACCCATCCCATCGTAGACAATATACGCGCAGCGACTTTTGTGTGATAGCAGCCTAAGCATTGTGCCATCGTTAACTTATCGTTATGTGATCTGTTTGAGTCCATCGTTGAACAGATGGTGGTGGTCAAGTTGAGCAATATCTTTCTTTATGTTTTGAGATATTAATAACTAGGATTAAACCATTAGCTAAACAGAACTGTAGAAGACGATCACCATTGTCGTTTCGTCGGTATGTGACTCCATAGGTGCGATCAATGTACTTTTCTGATTGGCACAGATCCCTACTGAAGCAGTGAAGTCAACTACTAAACTGACAGTATCTGAGAGTTTTGCTTTCAGCAGTCAAGTAGACATCTCTTAGTATTACATATTTTTTACTTCCTCCGAAATGCAAGCTGTTGGGAAGTAATTAAAGATTATGCAAAGACATCGACGGGTATTGAAATCTTTTCGTCTTCTAACAAATCCGTTCAGTGGGACAGCGCATATACAGCTTTTGACTGGAAACCAAACAAGTAGTTATTTTTTCCACTCTAACAGCCAATGCTGTTTCTGCACCTGTAGGTCCTCGCAAACGAACCAGAAAATCGTCTGACACCCGTACATTCAACTTCTCAGATTGACCTTGTTAGGTTAATAATCATACTTGAGCCTTGTATGCATGTCTCCGAAACACAACATACATCCGTCACTCCAGATGACAGAGTTCTGGCTAGTAAGAACCTTTTGTTCAATTTGGTGAAGGGTCTTGACGCTCAGACGCTTAAATATGAAGCTGGCGGCATGGTTTTAAGAGACTGTTGGTCGCCTTTTACCGGTTCTAGCAGCTATATTAATGGTAGCAGCGTTAAGAGGAAGTGAGGTATCTACCTGTGAAAATGGTAATAATAGTGGGAGGCGAAGAAAGACGACGAAGTTGAGTGGTGATCAAGAAAGCTTGTATGCAAATGGAAGTGCGTGGGTGGTTATTACTTCCCACCTGCTCACACCATGAAAGTTGATTTCTCCTTAAAACACCTGTAGCATAAATAGTATTAGTAATGCGCCACCATAGAGCCCAGTGGGCAAAAGCTTCAGGCCAGTTACACTCGTCCTGCTTCATTTGGCCTTTAGAGATGTATCTGTATGAAGATCTTATCACCGGTTACGGAACAGAGCACAGAGCAGAGACAGCTGGCTTACTCTGCATGCGAGGAAAATACCTTACTTTTATTACATTCGTACTTGCCAGCACACCCAATATAGAGTAAACGAATTACACTATGATTGCAACTGCTTCTAGTCTAGTCGCCATCCGAACCAACTTTCCGGCGTGATAAGACCTGCAGGAACACTAGTTCCAGTCAGTAGAGCTCGTGGGGAACACTGAGTAATGCAAGCCCGACCGCTAAATCAAAGTAACAGTTATCGGTTGGGTGTAATAAAACAAAATGAACCGGAACATATACATATTTATTTACTTATTTGTTTAAGAATAGCAATTTGAACATGCATAAACATCTATGATAAAAAATAGTTTCTCTTCTATTCATAATCTATACTTATAATTATATTATATATATATATATATATATATATATATATATATATATATATATATATATATATATATATATATATATATATGCACAAATGATTGAGGTATATACGCGCGCAGGCGGGGAGAGGGAGAGAAAGACAAATGACGACTTTATACATATTTAAGATAGAATAAACTTTCTATTGCCTAGTGAAAACATCTTTCATGCCACGGAAAGAAAAGATAAGAATTATTTTTTAAAAAAAGCAATAACTTTATAAACACACCGTTATTCATCACTACTACTAAGTCTGTCTGTCTGGATTCAACATACTACTAAGTTAGGCATTAGAAGTATTTACATTTGAAGGTACAATATGACTTGTAACAATAATCCTGCCTGAAGAAGAAGAGGGATTGGTAACAGAGTTTGATGTAGTAGAAGTATTCAAAGTCACAGGTGTACTATTATTATTATTATTACTACTACTATTAATACTACTGGTAATTATATTCATATTTGCAGATGATTGTTGAGGTGGTTTACTGGAAGTGATAGAACCGTGTGTCGTAGTGACATTATTATTCGTAGTATTAGTATTAGCAGCTGCAACAGCAGAAGTAGTGGTAGTAATAGTGGTAGTATTAGTAGTAGTATAAGTGTGAAGACTATTACTGTTATTATTTTGATTCGTTATAAAAAGACAATCGGCCAAACATCCATAGGCTGAACGATAATCCTCTAGTTTAACACCCAGTCCTTGACGTAAACGCCAATCATTGAGTACTGATGCAAAACGATTCTGCAAAGGAGAAATTTCGAGATTTTATAAAAGAGAATAAAAAGAAGTGTTTGAATGAATGAATGAATAAACCAACGAACGAACAAACGGGAGGGAAAACGCATAGTCTTTCTCAATATTCCTGATTGGATTTTATTGCATCATGCAGGCATCATTGAGAGTACTGTTGAAAATCAAGGAATACTGGTGAGCCATTTTATCCTAGTTCCGAACTCCTCCTTAGCACTACACAAGCACATGGTTTTACTGGAATTCGTACCCAGGATCTTGAGGTTACTAGGTCAGCACGTTGACCAGACAAATACTGGGATGACATCCAGTGGCCCATGAATTCTAACTTCTTCCGATTTGCGATACATAGACCTTCCGTCAAATAATATCATCCATGAGTATTTGTCATCACACTCAAACTTAACGAACGCTACTCGTCACTGATTCTCACTAGAGCCTCATGAAATCCGTCCACCTTAATATTCATATGATGATAAAACGCAATAAAATTGATTAACGTTCCACTGGTAGATTTTTCCTGGGAATCTGATATTGAATAGAAGTCAAACTTTGCCGCGAACTCATGTCAACTAAAACACTATTGAAAACCCAGGAGAACTGTATAGTTGTTTCGCCATGCATTGTGCCTTTTCAGTAGTTGAAACTCACTAATGGTAAAGTTGAGGACGATTGAATTAGACGGTGAGTGTAAATTTGCTATCTTCAGTGATTTGTGATTCAACGTGATCACCATCAATCGATATGAACACTGTCCGCATATCCGATTTGATGAATCTATACTACCTGCAGTATTTGCAGTGATTCACTTCAGTGTAAAACGTACTGCGTTGGATTTATCAGTCATTCTATCATTGGAAATTTAAAGCAAACTCATTTCGAAGTTAGTCTCTAATAGGCATTGCAATAATATCGAGTTGGTGGGGCACATTTACGCCAACAGAAGATGTCAAAGCCAGAATCGGAAAGGCAACGCCCACCTTCATCAGTCTGAAATCAATGTGGAAATCTTCTGCAGTCACCATATAAACAACAACATCCGGATTCTCAACATCAATGTGAAGTCAATAAGTTCTTCGAAATGGGTCAGAAACTTGACGAACGCGTCACGAAAAGTATTTCCGACAGGCTACAGCAGACTTTTATCAACAGCCGTCTGCGTTGGTTTTATATTGAAGATCGAATTGCCAGAGAGAATTAGCTACAAGAAACTATGGGAACGAACTGACCAAGAGCCTATCGCTGAACAAATATGCAGTAAACAGAGATGGATTGGGCACACTCTAACGAGACTATGGAATGTCATCACGCGCCAGGCAATAGCTCGACTAAAACCCGAATAAGAGACGACGAGTGGCGGTCTTCCTAAGGGTAATATGAAGGAAATCGTGAGCGCAGGAGATGACAGATTATGAGCAATTGTGAGCCCAGCTAAAGAGGACGCAAGAACATAGAACAAAGTGGAAATGTACTGTTGAAGCTTACTGTTCTACTAAAAACCCAAAGGGAACAATAACAATAATAATATCCAACCTAGAATCAATCAAAACTTCATAGATCCAACAACAAAAAAACTTTTCGTTTAGGATAAGCAAGGCAAAACAGCAAAAATCAGGTGAATAAATCAAAACACACTTACCGTCATCAAGGCTTTCAAGGAATCAAATGATCTTTGATCAACTGGTGAAAGTTTACAGCCTAAATTTAAAGAAAGTACTGGATGTTGCTGTTGTTGTTTCGATTTTATCATATCATTGTCAACACTTCCAGGTGTATTCGACTCATTCGTATTGTTCACTGACGATGGATCTGATTCAGTTATCTTAGTTAAACGCTGACAAAGTGAGCTTAAAAGTGGGAATACTATAACACGTAGACACTGGGGACCGAATTCAGCCAATGCAACTAAAATACCATACAATGTATTCATTGAGTGTACAGCACCGCCTAAACTAGGCCCATTGACAGTGTTGCCACTAGTGCTGCCGCTGCTGCCGACGATACCACCACCAACACCACCACTGCTGCTGCTGCTACTATTAATACTACTGGTAGTTGTACCACTGCTATTGACTAGGTGTATTGTACGATCCACTGGATCATATTTACAAAGTTTCATTCCACTCAACTTTCCATCATCAGGAGTTTTTATTGTCTCATTTTTTTCATTAGATACACTGACACTTGACAATTTCATGCAAGTATCTGTTGAATTTGTTGAAGCGTTTCCATCGATCCAACTGCATAGAGCACGTGAAAGTTCACGAGTAACACGACTGTATAATTCATTGCTAGATGTATTGTGTCTTATTGATTATATGGGCATGAAATGATGAAGAAGAAGAAGACAGAGAATATGTATATATTTATTTAAAAAGAAAGTTATCCACTCAATATATACTTTTCATCATCAACAGTTAACATGAATAACAGAACCACCTAAAATTATGGAGCATATTAAACGAAACTTTTCTTCTAGCTTAGGACAATTTAGAACTATTGCATCCACGATTCTATATAGGATTGTACGAGTGGAGATACTACTCGACTTAAACACAGTTGACTTTCAGTCATTAAATCCTGGTGGTCAAAACCCACTCCACCTACTTCACACTGAGCATCTGAGGAGTATTATCAACTCTCACAGAATAAATGTTGCTCTTCGAGTGTGATGCATAAGAATTCTGTTTCAAGAGTAACTGAGTTCTTTGGCATAGTTGATAAGTGATTCGACAATCCTATAGCTGACCTTATTCTCCAGACTTGACAAATCCTCGATCATTCCGTATCCGCTATTTCGCTTTATATTATCACATGGTGTCACTGCTCCAACGCGGACTCAACTCGTAGCCTAACGGTTAACGGGTTCAATTCCTGGTGGAGTCGTCAGTGTACAATACTGAGGAATTCCAAATTAAGACTGAACAGACGTTCAATGCTCCAATGGTTTTGAGTGATTCTCTGAACAACTTTGGTTACTGACGAAAGATACACCGGGACAGTGTTTTATTTCCACGACAAACATTTATGGCATTTATAGTTAAGGGGATCATTTGTATAATTGACTTGATATTATATTGTGACTAGTTACCCCCATCTTATTGGTAAGCAACCCTCTTCGTCAATTCACATTTATGTATTTCGCCCATAGGCGTTTTTTTCAGTGAGGGTCTTGTGGTATGGGACCTCATAAGAAAACCCTTAAAAAACTTTTCACCTTCCATATATCGACTAGTTGACTTGATGTACTATTCCACTTCCTATGTCCACTTAATTCTTTGTAGATTTCTCCAGATTACATGACACCTTAGGAGAAATAATTTTTTCTCAATTAATATACAAAGACAAAAAGTTAATTCAATGAATTATATCTCTTTATTTGAAATTCTACAGAAACCGCCATTATAAGTATAATCAAATTATTAACACATAGAATTGTTTGTTATAAATAAGCCACTTAAATTCACGGTAAAGTTGTACTAACAAAGATATTGTCTGCATTAATAGTGCACATTAGCCTACTAAAATGCCTTTGTACTACGCATATAGGCGGACAGAAAGATATTATCATTATTGAGTACTGGTCCAAGTTGTCAGATGCCATACCTCCCGAACTATATGACCCAACAAGCTACACTGGCTGGAACTAATATCCCTGCAGGTGTTACCATGCCAGGAAGGTTTTTAGGATAGCGATTAGACTAAAAGCAGTTACTAGCATAGTGTGAGATGATTGCACTATGCTGGGGGTTTGTGGACAAAGTCGTACTGCTGGGATGTAGCAGGAGTAGGATGTTTCCCTCAGGTGACCAATGTGCCAGCCATGCCGCTATGCAGCCCCCAAAGCCTCAGGATGGTCGGGGGTGGGTGCCTTGCGCTGCGGGTTGGCCACCCCTCCGCACACCTCTTGAAATGCTCCCATATGACCGGGGTCTTACATAGCCTCTCCTGAGGAAGTCCTACTCACTGCCTTCACGTGGCGGAGGTGTTTTTCACTAAAGTGAGAGGGCAAAAGCGGATGCCCGGCGCTCTCACCGGGTTGACTGTCCATTGGATGACAGTCTAGGGGAGATGGCTAAACCCTGATTCCAAACCTCCAACGACTGGCGTATGAAGCTCACTGGAGCTCACCGGCAGACGTATGGACAAAGGGCTTGTTGGATGTCCTGGATGTCTGGCCCCATTCAAAAAGGCGTATGAACCGAACTCCGGTCACCGGCTGCCAATGGATAGTGGACTCCTTACTCCACTCCTACTGCCTTGTAGGTCACACTTGGCTGTGTAAAGGCTAGAGCTGCACTCTCAAACAAAAGGCCGAGCGATGCTGGGGACATCACTCGTACCAAATTCCCATGAAACTTCATGAACTCTCTACAAACAACTCTCACCATGCTACGGCGTTCCCGGTAAGCGACGCGCCCTGTGCTCACCCGGTGGCCAGTGTGAAAAGTAAGCTAGCTGGGAAATTAACACTTAGAAACCAACTATTTGTTGGCTGCTGGAATGTTAGGACGCTGGTAGCCAGTCTATCACCATGCGTTCTTTATACGACTACAAGGTGGACATAGCGTGTCTATCTGAAGTGAGGTTACCCGATCATGGCTCCCGCCGAATAGCCGTACCTGGAACAGATTCTTCATTCTGGTTGCTTCATAGTGGACCCCAGAATAATTCGGGACAACATGGGGTAGCATTTGCTCTCAGTAACAAAGCCAATAATGCCCTAATATCATTCGAACCGGTCAACTCCAGAGTTGCAGTCGCTAGGTTCAAGGGTTCCCCGCTCGACATTTCTGTTCTCGCTGTCTATGCCCCAACCCTCGACTCTGATGAAAGTATCAAAGACGAATTTTATGACAATCTTCAAGAGGCAATCAACAAAATCCCAAAGCGTGACGTTCTCATAGTAGCCGGCGATTGGAACGCCCGCACTGGCCCTTCAGACGACGCGACAAAACATATACTAGGCAAACACGGTCTCGATCAGCGCTGCCGTAATGGTGATAGACTTTTAGCTTTTTCTGATTACAATCGATTATATATCACCAACACTCGATTTCAACACCCAGAAAACATCTTCTCACCTGGTATTCGAACGACGGTCGCACTGCACATCAGATCGACTACATCCTAGTGCGCTCACGCTGGATCTCCTCGGTGGAAGACTGTCGATCCTATCGTGGCGCAGAGGCCGGAAATAAAGGGGGATCAGACCATACTCTAGTTAGGGCGAAATTCAAACTTCGTTTAACAACACGCCAGAAGGCGCGACCTCCGAAGCGTATCAATGTTGCCCCGCTTCAATGTTCGACAAAGCGACAAGCCTTGTCCAAACAAATCCAGGCCGAACTAAGCACCGCAGATGAACCAACATCCACATCTTCTAATACACCTGAGACACGATGGAATCATTTCAAAGAAGTAGTCTCTAAAGCTTCAATGTCGCATTTGGGTACCACATCCAAGAAGCAGAAAGACTGGATTTCAGAGCACACCATGCATCTATCCTCGCAAGCCAGAGACGCTCGCCTAGCAAAGTCTCCAGTTTATCGCTCCCTCAGGCGCAAAGCTACACAGTCTGCTAGGAATGACAGAAATCGCTATTGGTCTAACGTGGCGACTAACATGGAAGCAGCATCAAATGTAGGCGATTTCGGAAAACTTTATCGCCTCATACGCCAATCATCTGGCAAACGCCTTAACAGTCATGCTGTGTTACGCACAGCATCAGGAGAAATTATTTCGGACACCAATGGTAAGATGGAACGATGGGCCGAACATTTCAAGCAGCTACTCAATCGCAACGCTGGTCAACCGTCTCATCGACCGATACGACACTTACCAACACCCTACGTAGTTGACTGCGATCCACCCACTCCAACCGAAATAGCTAAAACAATTAACAGACTCAGAAACAAAAAAGCTCCGGGCGAAGATGGTCTACCCCAGAAATATACAAGGCCTGCACTCCAGCGCTAATCGATGCGCTGCACTCGCTGTTCTGCTCAATTTGGGAGTCCGAAACCATTCCTTCCGATTGGAGCACCTCAGTTCTGCTACCGTTCCACAAAAAGGGAGACAGGTCAATATGCGAGAACTACCGAGGCATAAGTCTGATTGATATCGCTGCTAAGGTTTTTGTTTCCATTCTCCTGAACCGCTTCGCGGCCGAACGCCACGTGCGAACAAGGCCAAATCAAGCCGGATTTCGACCTGGAAGAGGCTGTGTTGATCAATTATTCACACTGCGAAGAATTTTGGAACACAGGGACAAATTCCAACAGCCGACGGTTGCTTGCTTCATCGACTTCCAAGCGGCATTCGACTCAGTTGATCGAGGAGCACTCTGGTATCTAATGGAGCTCGACGGAGTTCCGACCAAGCTAATCAACCTGCTCAGGTCATACTACTCCAACACCAAAGCTCGAGTCCGAGTGAACGGTGAAGAGTCCGCACTTTTGAGGTAACCAGCGGTGTCCGGCAAGGTTGTCCAGCATCCCCCATCCTGTTCAATTTCACAATTGATTGGATTTTGCGGCACGCCCTAACCGAGCACCACGGCGTCCAACTTTCGCCCGATATTCACATAACCGACCTCGAATTCGCCGACGACGTCGTGCTATTAGCTGAAAACTTCCCCGATATGCAACAGGCGCTCGACCAGATAAACCACCTCGCGTCTACTATCGGTTTGAAAATTAACACTTCCAAAACCAAAATGTTTTCGAACACATCCACCAGCAATGATGAAATCTTATCCCTAAATGGAGCACCTATTGAAATTGTGCCATCCTTCAGATATCTGGGATCCATAATGCTCCCCAACGGCCAAGCGAAAAACGAAGTGAATGCGCGAATCTCCAACGCCCGGAATGCGTTTCTACAGCTGAGGAGCGTTCTATGGAGCAAGAGAGAAATCAGTCTCAGGACTAAAATTCGGGTCTACCAAGCTTCCATACGACCCGTTCTCCTGTATGGCTGTGAAACCTGGCCTCTTCGCGCGGAAGATTTACGCAGACTCGAGGTAGTAGACCATTGGTGCCTCAGGTACATTCTGCATGTTCGTTGGCAGGACAAACTCTCCAACGAAGAAGTGCGTCGTCGTTGCTACAACATCAACCAAATTCCAGTACTGGTCCAACAACGCCGCCTTCGGTGGTTTGGCCATGTTCTGCGCCGACCAGATGACGATCTGGTCAAATCAGTTCTAAATCCCTCGCCATTACCATCTTGGCGATGTCGCAGGGGTGGACAGCTGAAAACATGGCTTGGTACAGTCAAGGCTGATATGGAGTGCCTGGGGCTACAAACCGTCTACGGACTCCGTCTGTGGAACAAGAATTGGATAACCCTGTCGCAAAACCTTGCATCAGATCGCCGCGCCTGGGCAGCGATGATTCGAGACGTTCATGAAGCCGGCTCATCCTCCCGTAGGAGATAGCCGAAGTAAAGTGAAGTATGCCGCTCCTCCACTCTGGAGATGAGGATTAGAAAATATTGGCCCCCAAAACTGTACATTCCTACTTACCTTACGGTAGTTCGAAGCCGGCGGTAAGTTACTAATAAGGAACCAAACCTAAAAGCCAGTTCAAACAGGCCGTGTGTGACCGGCCTCAAGTAGCTGTCCATTGGGCTCTGCGGTAATGGGATACTAATTCTCTTCCTGTTTCAAGTACTCCAAAAAAATTCCATATCTGCGTGTTAAATACAGAATGATGACGTGAAATAAGGGTCACAATAACAAGGCAAAGGACGAGGAGACGCAGTACCTAAGACAACTAAACATAATAACCAAAGTGGCGATAAAGTCTGGAATGAATTCGGTCTACTTCAACTGATTTTCAGCCAAACTATTTGCAGTCTTTAACAATAGGCTGGTCGACTTCGTTGTTACTAGACAAATTCCACACCCACATGCACGTGAAATATTATTAAATTAGTTCTCTGTAGTTCCTTAACAAACATTTGGTAAGGTAGAGAGCGCGGTAACGAGGTATTAGGGATTCATAATAAGTAACTCGATGTTTCATCTTTGTTGATAACTCAGTCACAGACACTCAACTACGCTAATTGACAAAAGCTAAGAGAGAGCCTTTTTTAGGCGTCGAGACTTCTTCAAACATCAATCTATAAGGCTGATATAACTTTTAACATAACTAGAATCACTGATATACTCAATCATTACACTCCATAACAGCGGATGGTGCACACTAATCATGAAGCAGAAATTCATATTTAGAAGGTGAGAAATGCAACACAAATATTCTCAGATTATTCCTTTTGTCAATCGTTTAGCATGACAAAACTATTTCAAGTACACAATATTACTATAAAGGCCAAGTGGTCCGTCTTTACAAAGTCAGATGACAAGCTAAATATTGGGATAGTCCTACCTATCACGCTGAATAAAAACAGATAGTGGATATCCCTGACAGACTCCACTTAGTGTAAACGCCTCACCAAAGACTAGAATAACCACGAGTATAAAAGGATGTGCTGAACAAGTGTACCTTTTTTGAAATACATTGTCCTAAGACCACTTAACAAGTGGAGTTGTGAAGCACATCTAATGTCCAGCGCTAGGAGGTATGCTTGTTTCCCACAATTTCCTGACTCAATATCTGATCAGTACACCGATAAACAAGTCTGAAAACAGTCTGACTTTTCCCAGTGCATTCTCCTGTAGATGTGATCAAAAAGTCATATGATTATGATCAGATATTAATAATGTCTGCCTGTCTGTCTGTTTTCGACATAGAACTTAGCACATATGTGTGGCAGTTCGAGTCGCCACACTCCATTTAGCACACAAAGCAGGAGAAGAAAGTAGAAGAAATGCATACTAGAGACAGTAAACAGAGATATGAGACAAAAGAATAGTAATAACGAAGAACAAAACAGTTTCATTGGAAATCATAAGTCACAAGGAGTGGATGCATCTGCACCAACCATTGAGAACGATTTTGAGCCATATCACCAACTGTCTCCAGCTTTCATTGGTTTTTACCGTCCTGAGGTCCCCAACCAGGAAGTCTACACCTTCCTACGTGACTGGCTTAAACTAACTGTTATGGATTTCATTGACTGGTGCCATGTTTTGGTGTGACCACCACTGGCTCTTTTCCAACCTGACTCTATATCAGTTAACATTGCCCGTCGAGGAAGGCAGTGGCTAGGCATACGTAACACATCTCCTAACCATCTCAATCGGTGTAACTTCACAACCTCGTCGATTGATTTACCCTCCCTGCGTACCTAGCACTCGACCGATGCCTAACCTCAATATTGCTCACCCTATTATACCACTTCACACGGAAGATAGAACGAAGGGACCTATGATAAAAGACAGCTAGGCCTTTCATGTCTTCCACTCTCAATAACTAGGTCTCTCACAGCCAAAAAGGAGTACGGAGCGGACTGCTGAGCTGTACACACGCTTTTTGGTCGATGGCCGGATATCACGTCTACGCCAGAGACGGCGTAAACTGACATATGCGAACCGAGCCTTTTGTATCTGTGCTAAGATTTCGTCAACGATCAACCCACTGACGTTGGCTGGGCTGATGCAACTTCCCAAATAAGTGAAGTGGTCAGCGTGCTCTACCACTTCACTCCCTATTTCTAAGCTAGGAGTCAATGTGGTCCAGTCCTGTAACCTCATCGTCTTACATTTGACTGACAGAAGCGAATCGTATGCCAAACATTCGGAGATTGCAGCTCAAGGTGTTCAGAAGACTCTGGATTTTGTCAGCGTCCTCACTTAGAAGGCAAGACTAGGCAAGTCATTAGCATATTCTAGGTCAACGAGATTATTCCCTGTTAACAAGTCAATCTCTGAGTCTCGGAAGTGAGTTAGGGTTAAGTCCATTAGTACATCTATGAGGAAAGTGAATACAAATGGAGATAATGAGCATCCCTGACGAACACCACTAGTCGTCACCATTTCAGGTGACAACTCGCCGTAAGCCCTCACCTGGCTGACTGCTGAGTTCGAGTAGAGTGAGTGCCTTGATAAATGCAATGTATTTTCTCGGAATTCCGTTCACAGCCAAACATCGCCAGAGTACCTCTAGGTCGACAGAATCGAATGACGCCTTAAGGTCAAGAAATATAATGATTGTTGGACGCAGGTAAGAATGCTTATGTTCTAGAATCTGTCGAAGGGTGAAGATATTGTCAATACACCCTCTTCCCGGTCGACAACCTGTCTAGCTCCCTCGTGTTTGTGCCTCCCTAGCACCACTTCGTCTATGCATGATTAATGAGCCTAGGTCTTTAGATACTATATTAGTCAAGCTAATCCCTCTGTGATTGTCACAGGAAGACTTGTCTCCCTTCTTGTATATGGAGATAATCAGTGACTTACACCAACCCGATGGGACTTCTTCTGATTCCCAGACACTGCCTAGTACCTCAGTTAATGCAGACAGTAAACTGTCTCCACCGTACTTAAATACCTCTGGAGTCATTCCATCAGGTCCCGCTGCTTTGCCTAGTTTCAGATTGGTGACAGCTTTAATAACCTCAGTTAGGGACGGAGGACCTGTGTCTATATCTCATTCAAGGAGGTTTTGGATGTTCGGCAGGTTAGGCGTGGCTGTAAGCCAAGTGATCTGCTTCTCATAGTTCTCTTTCCAGCGTTCCAGTCGTCTATCCTAGGAGCTAATTATGGTTCCCTTTTTTTTCTCGGAGATTGTTTCGCTTATCATTTGCCTATTACCACCGGTTTCCCTGATAAGCCTGGTGTTGCTTATCGCCGATGCCTTTTCCATCTCTTTTGTCACCTACCACTTTTCACGGTCGTTGCGAAGACTTCTTGTTAGTTTTCGTTTGAGTAGCTTTCGCTTCTCACCATAATCGGAGCTCGCCAGAACCAAGATATTAGTAATAATAATAATAATAGCTTTAGTCCAAACAGTACTTTTGACAGATATATGGGATTTTAGGATGCAGTATTGCATCTAACTAACTTTCATACTACAGAAAAATAGGGGTAATAAATAAACAGGGCATTTAATCTGATAACATTACTAAATAAGAATATGAATATAAAATTAAAAAGTGAAGTGGAACTATTGACAACAATAAATTAATGAAAGAAAGAATAAAAAGGCCGCATACCTGGGGTTTCCTAGTGAGTTAGTAGTGTCATGCCCTACACTTTTCACACCAGATAAAATGTGCACCTGCCAAATAAGTTATTGTGAAGTTTTTATACTTAGTCGTCCGAGAATAAAGTCTTCAATAATTGCTACTAGTTCTACCTGATAAGATGCAAGAAGAGAGTTGTGTATTGAAAGGATTCTCAAGGTCTGACAAGAGTCTAAGTGTCTATCTATGAAAGTATTAACAAGGTGGTTTAACAACACCCCACTCATCAAGGGGCAGCAATAACGAATAATGGTTAGAGTACGAGGATTAAAAAACTGTAGAAGTAGAGACTGGGTGATACCAAATTGTCTTGACTTCCTTAAGTAGAACGAAAGCTAAACAAAATATCAATCTAGAAACAAGCATGATGTGGGGAGATCAGGAAAGATCAGACGAAATATGCATTTCACGGTATTCAATATTTATTTTATTTATTTATTGAATATTCGACTTGGTCTCAACTCCAGTGCCATCTATGATAACAGAATCATGCGAATAAACCAGTTTCGTGTCATTAGCGCTTGCGTTTGAAAGCGAAGTTAGAACGTCGGCATACTGAACAAACTTGACCACATCCAAATGGAGCAAGTTATGTAAGAAAAAAGGGTGAGAGAGTACCGTCTAGAGTAAATAAAGCAGTAGAGGACTTTCCATTATATACAGCGTACTGCTACTGATACCCTTAAGATACCTTTAACAAGTCTAAACACCACAAATATATATATATAAATACTTACTTATCAAAAAATTAAACTCACCTATTACACAATGTTATCAACTGTTTAGCTGCAAAATCTCTTAATGCCCAATGATTATCTGTAAGCGGTTTGGCGCATAACTGACGATTCAGTACACAGGTGATTACTGTAGGCACAAGCAGATGTAAATACGGTTCCAGTGAGATGTGTGGATTATCAATAAGCGCTTTAACTAATCGCATTAAATAAATTAATATAGCAAGATTGTGATTAGTGACATTGATTCTTACCTATAATTTGAGGGATACAAAAGAAAACAAGGAAATCAAAAAACAAGAACAGATTAAAACATTTGTGTATAAAAAAGCAGAGAATAATTATAAAAATCAATCTATAAAAACAGATCACAAATATTATTCTAAATAAATATAACTTCATTATACATAAAAGTGCAGTGTCTAGAGATTTGATTCTTATCCATTAATATACATTACACTCATTTGAGAAGCTGTGTCAACCCCAATGGGCTGCTCACTGACAAAATCTTACCAAGGATACAAAAAGCTCATGTTGCAATTGACAACTTACACAATCTCTCGCACAGACGTGATATCCAACCAAACGACGTGCGTACTGCTCAGCAATTCGTTTCATCCTCTTTTACGTTTGGGTGTGAGACATGGCCATTGGAAGAGGGAGATACGAACAGGCCGGCTAGCAAGCAGTCTTTGATCATAGGTTTCCCCGCTCTGTATACCTCTCATGGTAAGTGGTGGTATAATAGGGTGAGTAGTAATAATTGATGTTAGGTGTTGAGTGTTAGGTAAGGAGGGAAGGGAAATCAATCGATGAAGTTGTCAAGTTACATCGACTGAGATAACTAGGACACAAGTTGTGGATTCCGAGTCATCTCCTTCCTCGACGGGCAATGTTAGCTGACATGGGATTATATTGGAAGAAAGCTAGTGGTGGTCAAACCAAAAATTGGAATCAGTTCATGAAATCTTTACCAGTTAGTTTGAGCCAGCCAGACAAGAAGGCGTAGACTGCCTGGCTGGCATTCTAAGAAGCAATCACGGCTGGACACAGTCGGTGATATGGCTCGAAATTCTTTTCACTTGTGCAGATGGCTTCGCTCTTTACGATCTGCCACATGTTGCTTCTGTTCTTTCTCCATCCCATTTATGCTTATAACTGTTCTTTCACATCTCTTTATTTTCTCTCCTTTGTCTTCCTTTGTGTGCTACATGGAGTGTGGCAATTCAAAATGCTGTAATTCAGTGCAGAGTTCTATGTTACATCCAGTTAATCAGTCAGTTAATACACAGAGTGTGCGCCACTGTGCATTAGCTCTTCGTCTTCACATTTACCAGTATACACTAACTATCAAAAGACACTATGTTTATCCTTTCATATCACCTGTATGCAGACACCTATGGACACCGATTTGACTGGAAAGAATGTACAGGAAATACCAAGTATACCACAGAACTCCTAGAAGCTGTGTACTCAAGATGAACCTACAATCAAATCTCTGGAGATAAATTAATCACGTCTGAAGTTATCAGGAGAGATGATGATTAAAACAGATAGAAAATTCCAGAAGCTAACTTCATATTAAAAGTTAACGCTGAAGCGCTGAAGGAAGACAACCAAAGCTCCCTGATTAAACCATCCACATCAAAGAATACAATTACATCAATAGCATCAACCTGAGCTACAAATCTTCAACACAAATCACCACAGTTGCCTTCATTCATAATATACTCTGGTGTATCAAAATTTTAGTAAGTAATAAAGCGACATTGACTGCAAGAAAAATTCCAACCTCCCTTTGGCAAACACATCTCAAACCTCAAAAGAGCGAAATGGTCCCACACAATAGGGTGGAAGGAGGTTAAAATTCTAAAAAGTAATCTAGGTAGCTGGAGAGAGAGGTTGATTAATGAGTACTTGTTCATCGAGTCTACACCCAACACATGCAATAGGAATGATTCATCACTCATACCTGAAATATGGAAAATACTAGTACCAATCAAATCAAGTGAAAAACAATGGAACTATATCAATAAAGTTAGAAAGTCGTGTGATTACCCTGATATGATTATGAGCTGTAATAAATTGTGGTCGAAACGTCATCAGTAAACATTACTGTATAAAACTGTCAGACTTTATCACAAAATTTACCCATAATGGAATTAGACTCTACCACAGTGCACAAATTTTATTCTTATATCAGAGCGAAATGGTGTTTAGATCACCTCTGACTGGCTCGAAAGCAGTACTAGTTGATATGAGTGAACACTGAAAGCCACTAGAGAGTAGAGGACAGCTGTTTCGCCCTAGTTTGGGGCTCATCATCAGTACGCACCCACCAGGGTTCAAACCCAGGGTCTTCCGGTTGCAAGTCAAGCTTCTAGACCATTCAGCCACTGAGATCCGACTCAATGGCTAGGCCGTTTTGTGATTTTAGCGCTACTGGCACCAGCCAATGCCATCGGCGAGTATTTGTTCTTACTCTCAACTGGATAGACCCCACTAGTTAAGACTTCTCACTAGACGTGCAGGCAACTTCTTCCTGTGACCAGTCACCAGCGAGCATTAGATTAATTTTCAAGAGTTAGTTAGTAATTGATATCAATCCATGACTAAACTTGGAACACATCAGTGGTATATATCACTATATACCTATACATTTCATTCAGGAATATAAATTATCCATTATCTTTTATTTAAGGATATATAGGTAGATACATACAGATATCAATTGTTTGAATTCATTTATAAGGGTCAACTGTCTCATATACCAGTCTAACAGTCTCAAAATTAATATATGATGGCTTAGGATACTAATCAGTTGTTGCCCAGACTGAAGCAGATAGACCAAAACTCGAACTCAGAACCTAATGGCTAAAAGTCGGGTTCTTGAACCCACACCTCTCCACTGGACATCACTTGAATCTCAGAAATATGCATCTTTTCAACAAAGTGAACGTCATTAGATGGTTGGAGGCAATCGGCAGGGAGACATGGACCCAGGTTTCGTGCTTGCAGGGCATATCTGCAACCTTGAAGGAAATGTCCCTTTTGAGATTTGAACCTCAGTCACCGAGTACTGAGGTAAGAGACTTTACTACTGAGCTATTTGGGCTAGCGATTGACGTCCTGTGAGGCTGTACTGTATTAGATACTTTGACTGGACATTAACTAATGTTATGTGTCTACTCCTTTGTCAAGACTTGTCTAACAGAATTTAGTCTGCAGGAAACAAAGGACTGGATGCACGACACTAGAGAGTGTCCAGTCAAAAAACTGAGGCTGAGTACATCACTAGCTATAGCCTATCCTGCAGCTAATCTCGTTCCCATCTATTTAACATGCTCTTTGGTGAAATCAAAAATCGAAAGATGTCCTTCTCATCTTAACTCCAACTGTATATACAAATTTACATGCATCTGCGGGAGCAGTTACATTGTAAGGACAGAAAGAAGGGAAGGGCACATCTACGATTTCTGAACATGTACCGAAAAACTTACGTCTAAAGTGAACAAATGCTTTAAACAATCCCATCGCCAGGCACCTCCTCGACACGGGTCATGAGGTGGAAATCGAGAAAGCCTTTAAAATTATCAACAGGCAAAGGAGGTCCATTCTCCTCAAGTTCGGCGGAGCAATGTCTATCAAACGCTTCAAACAAGATTTATGTGTTCAGAAAGAAGCGTTATTAGTCTTTCCTTGCCCTGGTAACTGGATGTCTTTATTCTCTCATCTGATTACGTACTCTTTTCTTTACCCTCACCCCTCCTCTTTCTTTTATAGTCTGTAATTTTGCTTGTCTCACTTCTATGACGTGAGTTCAACTCAGTACATCGTTACCTAATTTATTAGTTACTCATCCTCTTACTCAGCTTCCGTCTTTATTACGTAACTCCTTTACCATTGCATGCATACATTTATTTTGACTTGAACTACCTTTGTAAAAGCTATACAAGCGCAATATTCTGAGCACTGTTCACTAATTGTGGAACTTTCTGTCAACTGACAACATGTAATAAATTTGCAAGTATGTTAAAACTTTTCTGTACTTAAACCTCATAATTTATATAGGCTGTAAGCAGCTGATGAGAAGCCAACGAAATAAATGATGGTAGCATATTATTCTGCACAAACTACTGTTGTTCTTGCTTTATTCAAAAAACGGATCTTCAGTCATGAGGATTTTTCGAAGTCAGGTACTCAAATTAATTTGAGGTCACTAAACACTCTTACACACAGACCCGAAATGTGTACGAGAGAAAGAGATCATTTGGTTAGACAGTATTTAAGCAAAACGACCATAACAAATCCAGATTCATACGACAATGATAATGAAGTACATCGGTGGCACAGTGGTTACGACTCTCGCCGACCATGCATATGGTCCGAAGTTTGATCCCCTGCCGACGCACACCTGAAATCTGCAAAATTTCGGCCACAGATATCACATGCTGAAAATTCCATACCTGTACCAAAAAATACGGTGTGGAATCAATCTGTAATTAAAAAAAAAGTATCTCAGATCAACTAACACCAGTTTCAGACCATAAGTATACATTTCAACAGGAAAATAAGAAAGCTGACAATAGGACACTTACACCCTCAGTGATAAATGTCATAAGATGAGGTAGTAATGGCTGAAGTCCAGGATCTAGTGTTGCATTTTCCAAAGCTTCATGTCGTCGAGTTTCATTGGCGCCAACACAAGCTTCTGTTATTTCACGAAAATAGATCATCACTTCTTGACTGATTTCATGAGGACGACGCTAAACATTTTAAAGAAAATAAGGAGACAATTGAACACCAGTAGGGAGAGAAGCAACACAATTAACGAGTGTAAACAATACGAATAAAGTTTTTAGGAGACTAAAACTATCTTAAAACGATAATAATAATAATACTTACAATAAAACAAAACTCTTCGTTCTAATGCCAATGTAGTAGGACAGTCATATTTGACTTTTACATTTTCTGCAAACACTTCTACGGTAGGAAGTTAGTTAACAGTAAATTAGGGAAATGAAGTTACAAACGTGTGTCGATAATGACAGGGATTTGAGGTGGAGATGGTTCCATTCCGTAACCTTAGTTATTCCAAACCTTTCTCCAGATATCCTGATTTCACTTTTTTAAAAGAAAGAATTATTTCTGCTAAGTTGATTTATTCTAATACATTCACTGGTTCTGCTTACTTAGTATTTTAACATTTCTTCAGGAAACAAGTGTTGATTAGATCATTCAACGGGGTAATGAAACATTTCCATTATCGATTGTCGGGAAGGTTAAGAGATTTATTATTGATTGGAGGATTTTATCATGAGCTGATATCAGTTGGAGATCCATTGGAAAACCTGGGAGTACTGAACAGCTGTTTCCCCTGTCCTAGTTCACAACTCTTCAGCAGTACGCACCCACCACCAGGGTTTGAACCCAGGACCTTCTGGTTACACGTCCAACGAGCTCGTACACCATTAAGCCACTGGGACCCGCTCCAATGGTCAGCCCATGAATTCCAACTTCTTCCAATTCGTGACATAGCACGACCGCTTCTCAGTGTCTTCTTCGATGAGTTAATGCCTCACCATCAACCTGCTGCACCCTACTTATCACGGTTTCCCACTAGAACCCCAGGTTAACCGCCTGAATAGGGCCAGTCGCTAGTGAGCATCAGATCAATTTTCAAGTGTTGGTTTTGTAGCGTACTGATGAAGAGTCTCAAACTAGGGCAGAACCGCTGTCCAGTACTCCTTGCAGGTTTTCCAATGCTTCTCAAACTGATGTCAGCTCATGATGAAATCCTCCAACCAATCAAACAAAATTCCCTACAAAACCAACACTGGAATATTTATTATTATTATTCCCTTAGGTTCTGAGTGAAATATATGGCTTCAGAAGAATATTCCTATTTCGTTCTATTCCTTGTATCCCTTTTCCGTAAGCCGTCATTTTCCCTTAATATGGTGTCCTTCTATCCCCTCCCTCGGAGGCCCAACTCTTTTTTCACTTGTGTTCCACCTAAGCCCCCGGCGCGTGATGTCAATCAAAGGTCTCAGCACGTGGCCGATTCATCTCCATTTTCTTCGGCACATCTGGCAATACGAGAGTAAAGAACCCCCTTTCGTTTGTGAAATAAAGAGAAGGTGAGTGTACAGATACATACAGCCTTATCTGGTAATATTTACACAAGTATAACTGTAGCAGTATACTGAACCAATTGGCCGAAACGCAATAACTAATTTGATAACACTTTGTGTCCTACTTATAAGCACAAGTAAGTAGTATGTCGCGGAACCTCTTCAGAGAAGCAGTGATGATTAATGCGCCAATGTAAATGTCAACGATGAAGAAGAAACACAAGAAGGTGACAATACTGAGAAAAATCCAGTAAGAAAGAGACTAGGGAGATAGTATAATTATTTGCGAACTGCACATCAATGTTTGTTTTTCTTAGCACACATTGTTTTTTTAATAAATATTATTTCTATCCTCACCTATCTTCTTCATTGCAATACCATAACTCGATTCTATAATTCAGAGTAAGACAGCAAAAAATGAAAATACAGTAAAAAAGTAATCTTAAAAAAACACAGTTCAGAGGCTATCACAGTCAAGAGGGTGAGGTCAAACCAGAACATAGGATAAATTCATGAGTTGAATCATGTAAGAAGGTGTAGATTGTCTGGGTGGAGTTTTCGATATGTTAATAATCAATGATCGCTGACCATTGATGACATCGCGAAAAAAAAACTGTTCTCAATGGCGTAGATACATTCACTCTTTATGATTTAAATGGCATTATTCTCTACTCCACCTCTCTCTGTCTGTCTGTCTGTCTGGATTCAACATAGAACTTGGCACCGAAGTGCAGCAGTTCGAGTTGCCACCTTCCAAATAGCACAGAGGTAGACAAGAAGATGAGTGAAGAGAATTTATAGAGTTTGACAGATATAAGAGTGAAACAGAATGGGTAATGGTAGAAAGGAATATGAAAGATTACAGATATTGAATACATCTGCGCCATTGACAACGATTTTGAGCCATGTCACCTATTGTCTCCAGCCATTGATTCCTAGAGTCCCGAGGGCCCCAACCCGGGAGTCTGCATCTCCCTACCTGACTCAGTTTAACTGTCAAGGATTTCATGGATTGATGCCATGTTTTTGTTTGGCCACCACTGGCTCTTTTCCAACCTGAACCTATATCAGCTAACAATGCCCGTCGGGGGAGGCGGTGGTTAGGCATGCGCACCACGTGACCACCTCTCTCTACTTAATCTCTACCTGTAATTACCTCTGTTGCTATCCTTATTTATTTAAACGCAGAAAAGCCTTGGTACAATATGGCACCAAGAAAGATGCGCCACACAATAATAATAAAACAACATAGAACAGAAGTAAAAATAAATATAAGTAGAGAACGGATAAAGAACCTCATCTGGAAAGAAAACAGTCATACTTAACAAGTTCAAACAGTATTGGTTAACTATCATCGGGAAGGGAAGAAAGAAGGAAATTGCAACACGTCCGCCATTGATTACGATTCTTGGCCGTATCCGATAACGTTTCGAGCAATCTCGCGGATCCCAACCAGGGAGTCATGACGCACTAACCGATGCTAATCTAGAACAAACATCCTTCATCCCACGACGCCACGTCATGGACTGACCACCCCTCCGCCTTTTCCATCCCGCCCCAGGGCTAGCGAACAGAGACCTGTACGGAATACTATGGGATGACATTCGCAGCACATGTCCAAGCCACCGGAGCCGGTGTTTCTAGATGACGACACTCAATGAATGGTGATCTCCACACGCCGCCGAACCTCAGAATTACTCAGGCGACGATGCCATCGAACGCAAGAAATCCTGCGGAAACAGCGATGATCGAACACGCAGAGTCGCAGCACATCCTCAGCTCAGAGGCCAGGTTTCACAAGCGTAGAGCAAGACAGCCTGCATCGTAGCATTGTATACACGACCTTTGACAGCCAGGCTAACGTCGCGACGGTGCCAGAGGTGGCTGAAGTTGGTGTATGCCACCCTATCCTTCATTATACGATTGGAAATCTCATCTTATCCTGATCTAAGTTGAAACATTTTAGTCAGTTATATTATGTCATCTAACTTACTAACTCAATCTTACTTTAGCTGCTGCCTAATTAACCTTGTTTCTATGAGATCATTCTTGTACTACCTAATTAATTATCTAAACTTGACAAACCTCATGTACAGAGACACACACACACACAAAATAATTGTACATAAATACATATAAATGCGATTGTACAACTGTGTGAATGAATTCGCCAAAAAGAGTCTCTTCGCTTAACGCCTTCCCTTTTTCATATGACTCAATGGGGATTTTTAAGCTACTCTTTATGATCCCTCAAATCCATAAAATCCTTAATTTCCATCTATTCCCGTCAACAGTTTCTTTTCAGCTCCTTTTGTTTGCATTCAACTTTTATATTTGTTTTATGAGGTGTGACGAATAGAACTGCTACACTTCTGTATAAAGTTCCGCGATGAATACATATCGGTGCACAGAAAATGGTATATGAAAGTTTCACTTAACAATTACGAGATGAGGAAAGCATTAGTCGAGTAGAAACTAGAAATAAGTAAACTGAGTAACAAAATGTAACTGACAGGCGTGAGTAGAGCTCAACTAAAGTGTCAAGTTAAGATCAGTATCATAAGGAGCACAAATGTGATGGTGGGGAAAAGAGAAAACAACAGAATTAAGAAATTATATATCAAATATTGTGACAAACCAGGTGGATTGTTTGGTTCAGTGACTGGACAAACTTCTGTATGCAGAGTTCTCGGCTAAGCACGATTCGTATAAACTTGAAAAATAAGCTACCACTATCGGTAACCTCGTCAATGTGTATCTGCTAATTGACCTACACCTGTGGAGTCAACTGAAAAGGACTTCAAAGAATAGGACAAAGTGGAGATGTGTTGATGAAGCCTTATGTTCCCACTCGGAACCCAGAGGATGTATACCAGCTAGACTCATCATTTGATATCCAAGGGTATTATCCTTGAATATCTTGTTTTCGCAAACAGGAAAGATCCTGCATCAGCTGTATCCTGAGACACCTGATCAATTCTGGACACTGAGCGAATCCCTACAAAACCTATCATCTAAACAAAAGCCATCTAGCAATAAAAGCTTGAATTACTAGTGATAATAATCCTCTGATTACAACATGAGTTAATACGAACTGGAATCTATAGTAGTAGTGTTAATGTTGCTACAGCTGAAAATATGCTTTGATAAAAAAATTAACAGTAAGCACAAAACCTAAGTACACATATATTTACCTCAACAGACAGTGCTAAAACTTTTCTTGGATGAGACGATGATGTTGAATCCGTATCGGTTTTTTCTCCATTATTCTGTGAACTCGTCTTTGACTGCTTTTCATTTGATGCATCACCATCATCATTATTGTCACTATTTACACCCATTCGTTTATTATTCTGTTTATTACTTCCAAACGAATTATTCAGTAAAGCCATTCGTGATAAAAAATCTGGTGGAGGATTCTGTGGTGATGTAGGCTGTTTACCGTTTACAGATAGCCAATGAGCTGTAATATAGACACACATGAATGCAAAACAGTTAACTAGTAACAAACGACGATTAAAAAATGACAGAAAGGTATACTGGGCACTGGTCGGTGAATAAAGACGGAAAAGCATAATTAAAGATGACCTCTGTACAGCTTGTAGTACCCGAAATGATGTCTGTTATCCTGACGTAGTAGATGCAATGACTCGACACGAACTGTACTAGTTAGAATAAACGCTTCTGAAGTTGCCGAATTTACCAAGAGTTTCTTCAACAACTCCTTCTTTCATAGTCTTACTTCTATGTTAAATTACTATGGTAGCTAAATGGTCTATGAGGTTCAGGATTTGAACCCCAGAGGGCAAACTTACCGACGTCTAACAATCGTTATATTTCTTGACCTGAAGGCATCATTCGATTCTGTCTACCGAGTGGTGCTATGGCGATGCTTGGCTGTAAAGGGAACGCCGAGAAAATACATTGCACTGATCAAGGCACTCACTCTACTCGAACTCATGCAGCCAGGTATGAGCTTACGGCGAGTGGACATCTGAAGTGATGACGACTAGTGGTGTCCGTCAGGACACAGAGGGCTAGTTTCGCATATGTCAGTTTACGCCGTCTCTGGCGTAGACGTGATATCCGGCCATCGACCAAAAAGCGTGTGTACAGCTCAGCAGTCCACTCCGTCCTCCTGTATGGCTGTGAGAGAGACCTGGCCATTGAGAGTGGAAGACATGAAAGGCCTAGCTAGCTGTCTTTGATCATAGGTCCCTTCGTTCTATCTCCAGTGTGAAGTGGTATAATAGGATGAGCAATATTGAGGTTAGGCATCGGTCGAGTGCTAGGTACGCAGGGAGGGTAAATCAATCGACGAGGTTGTGAAGTTACACCGATTGAGATGGTTAGGAGATGTGTTACGTATGCCTAGCCACTGCCTTCCTCGACGGGCAATGTTAACTGATATAGAGTCAGGTTGGAAAAGAGCCAGTGGTGGTCACACCAAAACATGGCACCAGTCAATGAAATCCATAACAGTTAGTTTAAGCCAGTCACGTAGGAAGGTGTAGACTTCCTGGTTGGGGACCTCAGGACGGTAAAAACCAATGAAGGCTGGAGACAGTTGGTGATATGGCTCAAAATCGTTGTCAATGGCGCAGATGCATCCACTCCTTGTGACTTATGATTTCCAACGAAACTGTTTTGTTCTTCGTTATTACTATTCTTTTGTCTCATATCTCTGTTTACCGTCTCTAGTATTCATTTCTTCTACTTTCTTCTCCTGCTTTGTGTACTAAATGGAGTGTGGCGACTCGAACCGGTGCACTTCTGTGCAACGTCCTATGTTGAAACCAGTCAGCCCTCACGCGGTTCGGGGTTCAGTCTCCGTTCGATGCACTGTTAAACCTCGCCAAGCCGGTAGTAAGGCTAGTAAAGAGATAAGGTTGAGTATGAAGCTAGCAACCCTACCCCGTAAAAAAGAATGATACCACTGCTACTGAAACTTCAAAGCTCTAACTTGAAGCCCTATGTTCCACTAAGAACGTAAAGAAATAAAAACAAAAAAAACTAATCAGCCTGTATATCCATCCCTTATTATTTCTATTGGTTTCGCTATTTATTTTTTACTTTGAACAATTCCCAGTATTATCTCACTTGTTAAAATTTATTTAATCTTTACAACGTTGTCTAATCGTAATTCTCACCTTGTTAAGTGATCTTTTTTAACTTCAGTATTAATGTAATTAATTCTACACTCCTTTCCAAGATTAATCACATTCCACTATTGTATAAACTGAATAACCCATTTCATAGCTTGCTGATGACATTGTTGAAAAGAAATACTTCTTCACTAAACAAAACTGTGTTTTGTTTCCACAATGTGACTTCCTACTTTAGTTCTGTCTCTACCTGTATTCTTAACCAGACTCTCTCTCCCCTTTTTCTAACCTCTATTCAACTAAATTATTCGACACTTGATTTTACGCCTTAATTCAATTTGTAACATTCGTGCGTGATTCTAGAATACTTCTTAATTACCTCTGCAAATACTAAACAGCTTAACAACGACTTTTATTCCTTTCCATTATGCTACTTGATCACATGATATTAATATTTGTACATTGACAAATTGTTCATGGTTATATAAAATATAATGGCATCAGCTTATCCTGCTCAAAATAGTCTAGCTTTGTTCAGGTGCATCAAGGGAAATAATTGTATGATAAGCGGGTACAGTGTGTGTGTGTGTGTTTTCTTACTTACCGACTAAACTGACATCATAAACCACTCCAGCAGGTTCACGTAATATCAGTGCTTTAACATCAATTTCCTTATCAGGCCGAATGAAGAACACTTTACCACCCGGACCTGAACTTGCCGTACGACCACCTGTACGCACTGGGAGAAAATTAGCTGTACTTGTTCCAAAAGGATTCTGTAAACAAATTTAAATGATGGCGAAACACATATTAGCATTAAATGCAAAAGTTGAATAAAGATGACTGGCTGAAATGATCAGATTTTTAATTAGAAAACTAATAATAAAACACAAAAAGAGTATACACACAAGTTAAGTAAAAATAGCGTATAGTCTACATTGTAAAAAAGGGCTAAAAATGAAATTTCATTGTCTGTAAAAACATAATTATACAATAATATACAGTGTTGCGGTTATTTTGTTATTTTTCATATATATATATATATATATATATATATATATATATATATATATATATATAGTATAATACCGTGTCTATAAGAATAACATTTTAATCCAACTATGCCTAACTCTTTTTAAACCTACACCGCCTACAACTATGACCGCAAGTCAAGGACTCTACAGGTGTAATACATTGGGAAGCACAACGGAAGATGAGGATTTATCACCTTATCTGATGATGTGCAATTCACACCTAACACTACGCTTATTCTCAACAACAGTCACTATGATTCAAAGCAGTATGAGCACTGGAGGCGGTTCACCTATGATAGGAAGTCTTAGTGTTTTCATCTTTTCTGTGTGTAGAACGGAACAGGATCCTGAGTATTACACACCCTATTTTGTAGAGGACTGAATACTTTGTCTGCATCAACTATGGTACAACTAATAAAATGCTAAAAATAACAGTTACCACAGACCAGTTTCGTAACTGTATTTCACATACTCGTGTATAACATCCTCAGGTTTTCGTCAAGTGTGTTCAGAAGAATGGTTACGCCTACAGTCACAAGATTTCATAGGCCATATATATTTTTTCTGACCTACATGAAATCTTGGTCAGTAGCTTACATACAACATAGGCCAGCAGTTAAAAATTTCATGAGGCAGCAGTTCGTTTTAGGTTGGTCACTTCAAGTCACTGACAACAAATGAATTAAGCTATTTCTCAGCGCATTTCTTTTGATGTTCGAAAATCGCATGACGTGAAAATAACTCATTATATCATCAACACTAACTGCTGTTACATATATGGATTATTAGCCTGATTAATTAAGTGAAAATTCTGTCCTAGGCTACCTGAAAGAAAGCAGTTCTAGTTGAGGTCGAACGTTAAAATGACTGCAGTTTACTCTGTTGTTTTCACAACAGTTTTACGAATCCTATTTTTATACCACTCAAACTATAGTGAAGCAGTAGCATACTGAAGTTCAACCAACAGACAGCAGGTTCAAAAACACGTCACACAGACCACAAATGGATGCCACATCTCAGCTGCAAGCGAATGTTTAACGAAACTTCTGATATTTAAGTCAGCACTACCATTACTTTTGGAGACGAATTTATCAACGGTTGATTTAAGAAGCCAGGAGGAATAACACTAGCATAATGTCCACAAAAACCTTCGTATCTCGAGACGTAAAATAATTCTCCCTTGGTATATCATATTACCAGGTAAAAAAAACCACTTACTATCGATATTTCTGTCATCTTTTTGAATTTTTTAATAACCTTAGTCTACTCTTACTATCCCAAAATAGAAGAATAAAAACATTTAGGTAAAACTGATGTATCAAAGGCATATATACAGATATATCAATACACGATGAAAACCACCTTAAAATATTAAGGAATTTATCCACAAAGACGTACTTCAAGTCCAATTAAAACAGAGGCTAAATCGATATCTGATGCCTGTGGAGTGCCACGACGACTTTGTTCCATCACACGAAGTATTTGATGAATTAAAAGTCTAGCGATTTGATTCAAATGTTTTTGAAGGAGATTTGCTCCAGACTGTGATAGGTCTGAAACACCACACATTTCAGCGCATAACGTAGCAACATCAACACTAATCTCTTGTTTAGTTGCTTTTTCCGTCGCAACAGGCAGAAATTTCACTTGCTTTTGAGCATTACGAGACAATTTTTGTCTTAAACCCAATGTTTTACCAACCGAAGATGAAGGCTTTCTTAACAATTTATTTACTCGGCGTTTTTCTGTAGATTCCATTTTTAGAAAGTGTTTGAGCAATTAAGAATTAAAAATTAGACTGTGAATATTACACATTCAAAGGTATGTGGATTGAAAGTGTCCTAAAAAATAAAGTGAAATTAATTATACAAGTTGTAAATAAAAATTAATTCATTAATTAGTAAATCAAATGAGTTGGAAGCATCCGTTGATTATTATTACAAGATTATATTTTTCGATACTATATCATTCTCCAGAATAAGATGTCGAACTACGCAAAACTGTGGAATTAATCCTTCACCTTCAGACGTTTTGACGTTTAACAAGAGAATTGGATATTGCTGAAGCCCTCTCAGCCTAATACACAGACCTTTGGTCAATCTATATCAAAACAAGTGAAGCTTGATTTGGACCTATCGATTAGAAGTTATATGATTAACTCTTAGTGTACGCCAAGTTTGTGCTGCTTATTGGTATTTATCATAGTCGTAACCCTAAAGAAGCTGATAAAAATAATTTACCTGAACTTTAGAGATAAATATTAAGACAAGCTTGATTCAAAGCTATCCACTAATCCTTCAGAAAATAAAAGTATTGACAAGGCATTTACATGACATTACGAAGGTTTAAAGTTACATGCAGCATGAAGAACGCAGCATAAACAAGAGCATCAAACTCTTTGGTGAATTTCTGCAAATTTTTAAAGTGCAGAAACTTGAGTTGTACACTTGTATGCTTAGAAAACGACAGGTAGGTTTGATGGTCATGACGTATGAATGATGAAAACAATACCTACATCTAAAGAACTTTGAAGGTTGTTTCAATTAGTCCAAGTCACTCGGTAGAAAGCCTTTTATCAGTAGGAAAACATATGGCGTAAACATGTCAGTTGGAAAATTTGAATGACACTCGGAAAGTTTGAAAGAACTTTAGCTGACTTTGCGGTAGTAATGATCTATGATCCACTAATTCCAACCCTGTCATACCGTAGTCAGAGATCTCATTACAATGTTTAAAATTTTAAATAATGACTAATGACCTCGTTGATTCTCTTTTTCCCGTCCCACCAGATCGGAACACATTAAAGAACAGTAGGAGAGGTCAAAAGCCAAGGAGAAACTATACTGCCGTAGAGTATCGGTTCTCATACTGAGTCATCAACTCCTGGAACGGATTCCCAGAGGAAGTGGTGTCAGAGCCCTAGATTCTCACTGAAGAAGCGTTTTGACAAGAACGACAATTTACCGGAAACTGACTAAAATAGGCTTCAAGCCTTCTTTTCTTAATCAACCAATCCGAATCTAACTAGGTGAAAATTTAGTCAACCCATGGGATTCACGGTGCGTCGGTGGCATAGCGGTTAGGACGCTTGCTGACCATGCACATGGTCCGGGGTTCGATCCCCGGCCGACGCACTCCTTTACCTCGCTAAGCCAGTAGTGAGACTGGTAAAGAGGAAAGGTTGGGCATGAGGCTAGCAACCCCATCCTGTAAAATAAACACTGCTACAGAATCTTCAAGCCACTGGCTTGGGATGGGATTCACGGTAATAAGACCACGCGAAATGCCCTTGCCTCTATTCAGCGAAACTTCTACAAAAATAATTGGATTACCTGAGAAAGCATAAAAGTAGAAGCTTTTCGTTATTCTTGAATGAAGCCACCACTATGATTACCTCTCAAAAGATCTTAAGCAATGCGCATATCAACCGAAGGGGTATTAGTTTGTTGCTAGTCGCAGTTATACTGAATACCAACACCATCTTAAGTAGATGGGCGCTGTTTAGCTAGCAGTATTAATACAGTCAGGTGTAGAGTGGTAAGTAATAAAACTCAATCGATTAATATAGCTAGCAAATGCTTTAAGCATACATAGCCACAATCTTCCCCGATACACGATCCGAACTGATGGAGGATGAGCTCGGAATTATCATATCAAAACAACACATCAATCCACAAAGCTATTTAACGCTGGTGTCTTTGGGATTGATCCTTCAAATGCCAAGAATTAACCGTTGAACACTGTTAGTGACATGTTGCATAACCATTTAAAATCGAGTCAATGCATCTACCTTTTATCATACATTGAATTCTGAAAAATTTCAATAATCTTCATCTAACTAATTTCACATACACATTTGCTTACTGTAATGAAGTGATACGTTTTTCCTCACCATTTGTGCGCACTTTACGAGGTTTGATAAACTCAAACAATACTGTGCATACTTCTACGTTGTTACACTACAATTTGATGAGAACTGCTATTTGGTAAGTTATTTTACTACTAAAAAAAGAATGTGAAATGTTCAACCTCAACCTGAAATCATGTGGTGCTTATCATAAAAATGCATAATTTTCTTTAAAGAAAAACTGGATTTCTCCTGCGGAACCCGACTCTAATATTTTCAAACTAAAAGGAACCCTAACCTTACCTCTTATTTCAGCTACATTATTTATACCTTAGACCGGAATTTTATCCTAATTTACGAGAGGGAAAACATAATCAAAGGTCATGTAAATCCCGACTGTGTCCCAATATTAGTTAGTAACTCCTTTCGCCCCTACAACTGCAGTTCCATCTACGGTATTCCTTTTATTTCTCACCATCTTCAGATAATTCATGTCACACTAAATGCAATATCTAACGCAAAGCTGTAATTATTTTACACTTCGGCCATCGTTTGTCGTCTCTCTATTCCACAGAATAATTCCAAGACAAAATGTAGTCATTGTTCTAACGTCTTTTTGTTCGTATTGCAATGCACGGTAACAAAATACAGAAAGCAATTAATTATGAAGTAGATTTTCTAATGAAGCAAATGACTACAAGATGCACAAATGTAATTCCCTTCTGGTTCGATGAAACCAATACCAAATGATTTGACTAACCGTGGTTTGATAAAAAACGACAGTGAGAGAGATTATAAGGATTACACATATAATAGTACCTCTCTAGCATCGAACAACTTCAACTCAACCCCCTCACTCTTTTCGCATATGTAACGCACACTTTAAATAATGCGCTTTGTTTTACTTCAGACAATATTGATAGGGTTTGTTAACGAAGTACATGTTGCATTCTTATGCATAATCCCTTGGGAACTCAATTTTCTTTGGATATGTTTCTCGGAGGAACTGTCTGGGACATAATGGAAACTGTATGGAATGGCACTCAGAATTTAAAGACTAATTAAATGACCTTGGACAACCACTCACTATGAAACTCATTTTTTGTGCGCAAAGTACGTGCAGTGAAGAAGAGTATGATAAAACTCCTTACCGTATGCCGAAACGTCTGCGATCTTCCACAGGAGTGAGAATTCACGTCTGAAACCAGCTTCTGTACGTAAATTAGAGTTCTATACGTTCACTCAAGTGTTACCAGAATATGTCTATCTACTTTCCCATAATTACTATGTACTAAGTCAAAAAAAATTTGAAATGATTCACAATAAGGTTGATTATATATATAAATAAATATATAGGGATCCACGAGAACAGTTGCGTTGTTGTCTGTAAGATACCGGCAGTTGAGCCTGAACTCTTCCACAAAGCAATGACCCAGTTGATCGACTTAGATGGCTACTTGTTGCAGCCCCCGAAATAATATATAATAATGAGACAGCAGTGTCTAGTTATTGAATCGTAGTAATGAATGTTTTGGGCACCCTTAGTGCTGAAATAGTTTGCAAATTACTTCAAGATCGGCGCTGCAGGAGGTTCTGTCAAAGTCAGTGGAGTTGAGGCAGAAACTTGACAAATGTTTTCTTCTATTTTCGATAATGATGCGTGGCGTTACCATTCAATCCGAATCTTTTCCCCATCCGAACCTTCGATGTGTGCTGGTGGTGCAGCGGTAGAATGCTCGCAAACCACACCCTGGGTTTCGTCCCAAGCCGACACACTCCTGTACCTCACTAAGCCGGTGTTATGGACGGTAAAGAAGGAATTTTGGCCAGCAACTTCACTCCACAAAAATACAAAACTGCTACCAAAACTTCGCATCTCTAGCTTGAAGCCCTGTGTTCCACTAAGAAAAGAAGCCTTCCTCAATAGTTGCGCGAGACTTGCTTTTTGTTTACAAGCAGTCATACGTCTGTTGACAGTGGTATTTTCGGACTAGTTGGAAGTATTCATTTTTTTCGATAGTGCGTTGCAAATTTTCTTTTGTGATATCTTCTCTGAATTTGACTTCACAGAACCCACTGTTTGCCACATTTCATCTGTTTTAACAGAATTACGTAATGGCAAAACGTTTCGAACCCCTATTTGTTTTTGATGATATTATCCAATATGAGTGAGGTGGAGGCCTGTCCTTATAAGATAAATGCAGTAAACAAATACCTAGCGCCCTAACCAACACACAATGTTCTAACAGTGTGCTTAACAGGGAGGAATTGAATCTTTCATACACACACACTGTGACATTCGGTTGCACTGCTCCCAAGTGTTACTGCGCTATCTATAAGCTGCAGAAATGGAAACCTGAAATTCCTGGTGATTACTTTGTTGGACACCAAGTGAATTTACTTGAATATTCCTCTACGAGGCCAGCTAGTTACTCTGCTTGAACGGCTTGGAGTTCGTTTCCGGTCGGTGTCAACCAGGAATAAAGCTTATGATTGTTGCGCGGCCACCTGTACAGCTAGACCTGCTCTCTACCTACACTACCTGCTGACACTTCAACCCGGCTTACCTAACACCATCTCAGATAGCGAAGGCACAAAAAAATACGTGCTGCTGTTTAAAGACGACTTTATTAACGATGGTACAAAAAGTGTGTCGATGCTGTTAGTAGTGAATGGATGTTCAGTAATCCGTCATGTTGAAAGTGGTTTCGTTTCTGTTGTAGGTTACAGTCCCTACTGTTGCTACTTGCTGTCCAGCATAAGAGTGGATCAATACGACCGAGAGTATCATTACCAACCATACTGAAGTTTAATAGCAGATTGTGAAGCTGTAACATTTCAGTCTGTAAACGCTTTGAGCCATAACGCTTCTCAGCTGTAAATTTTGGTGCAGTAACCATTTGTGCTTAAACTGTTTTGTGATTATTCATTGTCAGTGGAACAAAAAACAGTCTCATGACTAGCAACTTGTCCTTCGACATTTCGGATTAGCTTTAGTTCATCGTATTCTGAGTTGAGTCTATTGGTCATCTGGCAACGGCGCCAGACTCAGGATCCACGGTACGCACTATTACACTACAGCGATGTCCAGCTGCCCGCAGCGTGATTCAAATAGCAGGGATAAACGGGTTGGTCTCTGATAGCAAAGTGACTGAGGTTCAATTCAACTTGCGAGTTTCTTTGTTTCTCCATACTCACACCATTTGGGAAGATATTTTCTCCCACCCAAGACCTGTATAATATTTTCCAGGGGTTATCCCTTTCGAATTAAGCCTTATTAATTTCTTTGAAGTTGATTCAGATGTAACATTATGCTTCAGTATGTCGCTGCCGGAGGCTACGCTGCCGCCGGCAATGTATTATTTCATCTTTCCGAGGATTTTTGACTTGATTCAAGATCATATCATGTAGTCACCGTTCGTCCTGTGGCTGTCTGTTCTAAACACTTTGAACTCAGTATGTTGTGTGTTTCCTCGTTGATTCTGGTCCATTTAACAGGTATGTGCAACTTAAAACCGTTTATTCTATCTGCCCCTATTGTGTACCGGAGAAATTCTTGCGTTGTGCAGTTTTCTATTAATAATTGTTGAGATACCACTATATTCTAAATATTGCATGCTAATGTTCTGGTAGTTCCTCAGAATTTGTCGCTCTAAAGTGTGTTTTATACCGCTGAAACGCTCCGTACCAGTCTGTATATGTAATTATATTTGTGCGCCCAGTTTGTTTGTGAAATAATGGGCGATACAGATGAGTCCCTTTGACTTCTAATCAAGCATACAGATGCACTCGTTGACCCAGATCATTATTTTAATTCGCTTGGTAGCTTACATATATCTGACAATGGGCAACTGTACCTTCGTCAATTTTGCATGCCTGAGTATGTATAAAAGACATGTAAACCAATTACGCTGGGGACTTATATAGCGTTTGTGTAACTGCTTGTCTGATAATAATACATGTCACTACTGAGATACTCGCTGTTTGATTCCTTGTACAGGTTCCACTCGGCGAGTGGCTACTGGTTGATTCTACTGCAAATTAAAGCATAATCACTAGTTCGTCACTGTCAGGTTTTCAGTCATCTGTGTGGCCGCTGTCTGAATTACACCACTCCAATTCTCACCATGGCCGTCAGACTAGGTGGCATTGCACCACTGTGAGCTCTGCAATGTTGTTGGATGTTTGTAGGCAGTCACCCGGAAGACGCGGACCTAGGTTTTGTGCTTGTTGGCACTTGTCATTGAAGCGTGTGATGGGGACAGTTTGCTGAGGAAGGAAGACATTCAAAAAAGCCTATATTTTGAGCTTCCCAATTTCGAATAATAATCATCCGGTGGAAGCATCAGAGACCATTTTCTCCTTATGAGAGGGACGGAACTCACTTTTAGTGGTGGAAGATTCAATGACGAAATGAGAATAATATATTCACCAAGGTGTTGCACTGTTACCGCTAATAGTGTGGGACAGTGAACAATCGGACTACCTACAACTATGCTTCTGCCCCTTTGACTTTACAAACGAACTTCACCCGGCCACTGTTACAGTGGTAGTTGCTGGTCTAGCGTTCACATCGTTAGAAAGAAATTGGGCAAAAATTACGGTTCGTTTTGTAGAAAGACTGCATAAAACCTAGATCTGATAGCGTTTGAATGCCAGTGGAAAGCAGCTTCAGTCGAACAACCGTTGTTGAGATTCGGAAGTTTTCGAAACACAATTGTTGCTGGCATGGATGAGATGTGTGGCAGTGACCATTTGGGGTTTTCATGATTGGATGGTAGTCCATGTAGCAAAATGTTGGGATAAAAGATAACACTTCACCTATCCGCTGTCACGTGTTCTCCGCTTTGTGTTAAACTTTCGCTAAGCAATGCTGTTCACATCATATAAATCTCACCGGTGAACAAGCTATAGTATAAATCTGGATATTCAACAACGTGCTGATTAACCTGACAAATTCAAATCACTACCTATACAGCACCAGTAAATGTGGCTGCATAAAAATAGTAAAAAGATGCTGATTGTTGCCTCTCAAATCTCACTGAGTCATTCAATGGTAATATACAGCTTCTCTCAGTCAAGTCTCATAAACAGTCAGTGTCCAGCTCTTCGTACGCTGGGACTCACGATGTCCCTGGAAGATTTTCAGAAACTCTGCAAGATTACCATCACTGCTATCTTTTATGATTAGCTCCAGTTTAGCATTACCGTCTAATGATAGGTGGGCTACCCGCTGGTCATTTACACTGACGGTCTCATGAGTATCTATACCTTCTACCACTGCATCTGCTCTTAATTCTACTTCACGTTCAAGTTGTACAGAACCTTTGTTCAACTCAGTAGTAGTAGTAATAGTAGGCATTCCACTCATCTCATCCTGGTCAGCCAAAGGCAAATCTGCACTATCATGACCACTGTCAAAAATATCCACTTTACCACCGTTTGTATGATCAACTTCAGCATTTGCAAACTCTTTAATAACAGCAGTAGACAATTTGGGTTCCCCCTCACAAATCCTTAAAGGTTTTATACCTTTACTCTGATTAGTAATACCCTCTAAACTTGTGGAGTCAGAACTGCACTCTGAAACTGTAACTCCCTTCTCCTGAACAAACTGAGTTGTCGTCTGTGACACTCCATTCAACAATGGCTTACCAGTTGCAACTATAGGCTTCCTCACTGCACCATTTTCGTCACACAATTCGTTGTCAGACCTGGATTTCACATTTAGCTTAATTCTAAACTTGCTCACTTCTTCACAGTTCACCTTTGTATGCACCTCTTGCAAACGTGTAAAACACAACTGTGTTTGTCTCGCAACTTGTAACCTACCTGTTGGGGATGTCCCACCAAAGCTGTTACACCCACTAACTTTATATGGATTACTAGACACCATAAAGCTTTC